AGAGAGTTAGATTTTGTGCAAGCTGATTTACATTGGAAATCTTTTACCTGAATTTTAAAAGAAACAATTTTCAGGGAAACAATGATTTTACTGATGCAAAAAAATGCAGTATTTACTTTGTTTACTCTGTTTGCATGAAACAGATTATTCCATGTGATTTACCGTTTCAACGTGTCCGTGTATCTTTTTTCTGCATTTCTATACTACTGGATCAGTCCATTTATATATAACGAAAGGGGTGAATCGCTTTTTTCGCGCCAAATGTCACGAGTAAGCGGTCTTCGCGCCTTTTCTTGATTGTTCTATTGTATGAATGGGAGTGCTAACTTCCATGGAATTAAATAAAGTTTGTTATTGTAACCTCCATCTTCTTATGATTCAGAAAATCCAATTCTGTCTACAAATTTTATTTTATTCTTTAAAACAACATATGAATCGCATGTATCAGAATATGGACATGCAAAACAAAAGAAATGATTTCTCTAATTTGTTTCCCCTCTGTTGGTTTATTCCAAATTTTAATGAACTATTCCAATCACCATTGACGATCGACGCAGTTCATGACGAAAAAATTGCATGTGCCTGAAAATGTTGAAAATAAATTAATCCGTCCTCCTCTGCAAAGAAAATAAATAATCTGACCTTGACTTATGATATTTAAATATTGTGAAAATACCTTTTTATTTCCGTGTAATTTAACCTCAGAATCTTCAATTCAGCATTTTTTTTGGCTCGCTTCGCTCGCCATTTTAGAACCAAATAATATTTTAAATCAGATTACCAGACTCGATACTTGTAGTCAGTTGATCAACATGACAATGTGCACTCAGTAGATGTGATGAATCACTTTAAATACAAGCCAATTCTTAAACACCACAAAAGATACATTTTTCTTGTCAAAGAATTATACTTCCCGATAAATAAATACAAAGTATACAGTGGCTGATTTAAGGAAGGGATACATGTGTATAACCCCCACCCCCCCTAAAATTTCAAAGTATGATATGAATTATACTAATATTGCCATACTTTAGTACAATACCAATATTTTTGTGCCTAGTTTTACTCTTAAAATACACAAAAACCCAAGAGCTTAAGAAGGCTTTGCCCCCTGGGCCCCCTTCATCCAAAGTATGATATGATTAGTATTAATTACATGTATGTCATACTTTAGAACATAACTAATCAATTTCTACATAATTGTGCCTGGTTTTACTCTTAAAATACACAAAAACCCAAGAGCTTTAGGGGGCTCCGCCCCCTGGACCCACTTCATTCAAAGTAAGATATGACCAATATTAATAATGTTATACTTTGCTACATAATAACCAATACCACTATAATTGTCCTGGTTTTACTCTTAGAATACCCGAAAACCCAAGAGCTTCTGGGGAATTTACCTCCCTTGGCCTCCACCAGTGCTTCGCCCAGGACAGACTGGGGCCTTAAGGCGGCCCCAGACCTCTTGCCTGAACGAAGTTATACACGCCCCATCCTGAATCCGCCTATGGTATATAAATGATAAGTCTTTAAGAATCAATCTATTAAGGTACCGTAAGACAAAGAAGAAAATATATAATCTGTCCTCGATAAGCTTGAAAATAAATAATCCGTCCTTGACAGGCATGAAAATAAATAATCCGTCTCAAAAAAAATTGCCAGCCCCCCCCCCCCCTCCCTCAGAATCAAATGGTCGTCCCCTTATTTCAAAGTTTGTGAAAAAGGGGGGGGGGTGTCATGGCGTATAAATTAACAATACATTTGTGGTATTCTTCCCTATAAATAAGGCCCGAGGAGTGGGACCGAGGAGTTGCGATTGGCAAAAAACACTCATACATTAACCATTCTGTTAACAACTCTTCAGAATGCAGCAAAGGCATCGTTCTTCTACAAGTTAAATATTTTTACAAGGTTCTCAAATGAAAAGACATATTTCAAACACAAAAAAGTATTGCTCAAAAGGTTTATAACTTCTCTTACAGATATTGATTGATTAAGTCAGGCAAGCTTTTTGAAAAGCTGTTACTTGTATTCCGTTTAATAATAAGACGCATTTTTCATTGTTAAAAAATTCCTCAATCTGCCTCTCACAGCACATGAAATACGTCATGTTTACCAATATGACGTCATGTTTACAAATTCATCGCAATCAGTACTATGTTTATAACCAGCTACGTAGGATTTAACTAGGAACATTTTTAAATGCATTGATAAGTTATTTGTTGTTTTTTTATGCTAATACAGTTAAAAGTAGCAAATTATTTCATTTTCATGTATTATGAGAATTACATAAAAGTCATGTTTTTGTGTGACGTCACAATAAACTTTTTTGTAAATAAGGCCCCTCCCCCTTTTTCAAGCCTTAACAATGCTGCGAAAATAAATTTACTTTTGGCATCTTACATGTGACTTTTCTTATGCAAATTTATATATAATGTTGTACAACTTTTGCCTTCATGTTGATTAACTTTTAAAACTGAGCCTTAACTTTCAGGTCTCTTCACATCAATATTCTGATGCTGTCCGCCAGTCGCCCGTCATACCCCTAATATATTGAAACACAGTGGTGGTACAGAGATTTGGACAATTTATCATCTACAGGATGATGTCAGGATCACAAACAAATAAGAAAATCTGTTCAAGAACTTCAAGAAACTGTCCACTGAGACATAAAAACATGTACAGAGGCAATTTCAAAATACACACAAAGCAGGATTTGTCAAAGGTTTAAGACCCTAGGGCAAGAGGCTCAAGGGAGTTTCTGATCAAAATGTGTGTTGTATATTCGTGTACTTATTGTGAGTATTGTTGCCCTTGTTGTCATCTTTGTATAATATGTTTTACGGTGTGACCGTTGGGGCGAGCGCAGTTTATTTACTAGCAGAAACCTACACTTGTACTCAACTATACTGTCTATCATTCAAGAAAAGAATAAAACAAAACATTTCCCAAGCATCGGGATCGAGATTCCAAACTTCTCGGAAATGTCCGACAAAATCGGAAATACCCGAACCGTTGAAGTGACGAAAGTATGACGTTAGATAAAAAGTTCTGTTGACTTTGGACGCAAACGCTAGTTTTATGGAAAAAAGATTGCTTTAAATCGTTCTTTTCAAGTAAGTTGTTGCCATGTTTTAGCCACCATGTTGCTATGTTTTCCGAGTTTCACGGAAGCAACCGACATAACTTCGTCAAAAATTCGTAAGTTTCCGGTGACGTCATTTGTATCATTTCCGAATGGCAAGGTGAAGGCCGGTGTTGTGACATGGGGGTATTTTTTTGAATAAGGTAAGGCAAAATCATTTCGTTAAGATTTCGGTAAGAAACAATGTTCCTTTAATTTTTTTACTTTTTTTGATTTATTCGCGCAAAGGACGTTGGGTAGTGCAGGAATTCTGGGAAGGTTGCACAGAGAAATTTAGCTGACGTATGTACAGATTTCAATCCGAATTTCCTCTGTTCATACACGTTAGTCTATTGAGCTCGCTTCGCGAGCGTCGCTTAGCGACGCTCGCTATAAACTTTCACATTCTCCACTGGGCCACTTTCAACCAATTTGGCACAAAGTATTCTTGAACAAGGGAATAAACATGATAAAGGTTATAGGAAAAAAAGTTTAAAGAAAATGCAATGCCTCCTTCCTAAGGATAGTCCAGACATGAATGCTGTCTTGACATGTAAACATGTAGCAAATGTAGATTTAATTGTTATCATTGCCCTGGAGGATTGGGTACAAAGCCCCGAAAGGTAGGGCAACAAAAGAGATAGAGATTTTAGCTCAGTCCTGAGCAAAAAACTCAAGTGAGTTTCTCTTATCACCTGTTGTCTGGCCCAGAAAAACTTAAATTTATGTGGAAGCATCCTAGGGTAGTGTATATTGTAAATTGTTCAAATCCCCGGGGGTAGGACTGGGCCACAATAGGGATTCAAAATTTTACATACACTGTAGAAATATGAAGGAAAACACTTTAAAAATCTTCTCAATTAAGAACCACTGGGCCAGAAAAGCTGAAACTTATATGGAAGCATCCTAGGGTAGTGTAGATTGTAAATTGTTCAAATCATGACCTCCTGGGGTAGGGCAAGGCCACAATAGGGAACACAAGTTTTTAATTGAAAGATATAGGACAATACTTTAAAAATCTTCACAGGAACTACTGGGCCAGAAAAGCTGAAACTTATGTGGAAGCATCCATGGGTAGTGTAGATTTTAAATTTTCCAAATTATGACCCATGTGGTAGGGTTGGGTCACAATATGTATTACAGTGGGGGTGGTGGTGGTAAAGAACAGCATAGTCAAAGCTACTCAGGTGAGCTACGCCTCTTGTTTAGTACAGTTTAGTGTACACATGTATATTGAGTATATTCAATGTTTTGTAGTTGAATATGGAAATTATTTCATGTGTGGGACATGATATTTTGTCTCGTTAGTGAAATAAATTCCATATTATTCAAATACGAAACATTGAATTTTCTGTTTATTACATTTTCTTTGATTTTCCCTTTGTCTACCTCTTTTTTGTAATGTAGTTGTACGCTACATGACGTCAGAGTTGAGCGGTCGCTACGTCAGCTTAAAGTAAAAAACACTGTAAACATAAATTTCAGCAATTAACATATTTGGGGAATGTACGCAGTCTTTATCTCTGTCAGAATGGTTTATTAACTTGTTCTCAATCTTATAACAGGCCAAGGAATATTTTTTACAACATTCCTTGTAATGGAAAGGAAAATCTCGAGTTTTCTCACACTTCTGGTATTTGTCACACTGTGATAGAATATCATTTTATTTAATGAATAAATCACAGTATTTCACTGTTTAAAATGTAATAAATTGGTGTATCTAATGTACATTTCAAAATTCTCAAAACACAAATGAATTTTTTAGCTGTAAGTGCTTTCTATTACTTCATGGCTTTTTAATTCAGACAAATACAAAATTCGATCAGTACTGAAGACAATATTCTGTATTCATTGATAAATTTATTTTACATGACCTTCTTAACTTCCTTGACATCAAAGAATGGAAACTAACATTATAATACACACTATTTCAAATGCCTTAATATTTCACTCTATTTATAGGTGATTTTGACAAAGAAGGTTTAAAACCTTTGTGGACATGGATTTTGAAACTTCTTAAAACTCTGGAAAGATGAGGAAAAGGAACCATTCAAATGGATCATGTTTGACAGGGTTATCACGGTAATATTGAAGATTTTGAACATGCATGCAAAAAATAGGTATGATATTGCATATTACAGTGTATATTAAGAAAAGTTCAACACATGCATTCATTAACTGACATGTATTTAAAGTATGCCCTTTGTCCACAAAGAAATTTTAAAATCGTTTTATGAGGCTGATTGTATGAAATGATAGATAAATCGGCAGAATGCTTCACTTTTTTCTTATTTATTTAATTCGAAAATGAACATATGAAAATGTACATGTCACATTGGGGAAGATGTTCAGTATTTTTAAATTGGATGTTGGAATTTGTATCTCAAATGGGAGGATGGCTTTTCAAAGAAGATTTAGGTTTTGATTGAGATCAGCGATTTTCTTCAAGAATGATGCATTTGATATTACTATTAACAAATTTGAACAACTCCTAATATCCAGAACTTACAAATGCATGTACATTGTACTTTTGAAAACTGATTCTTGTTAGGTACATTCATATTTGTCCCAAACCAATTGAAGGCAAAATATTTTCAGGAGAATGGTTAGACTAAATGACACAATGACAATCTCATATTCATGCAAAACTTTGCAGTCATTTCTGCAGATTCAGATCTGCACATTTAAAGCAGTGGATACATGAGTGTTTTTTTCTGGAATTCCTGACAAGAAATGGCACAATTAATTCACAAAATATTCATGTATCCACCCCGATATACTACCCCATGGAGATCCGGGTTAGAATAGGTCCTCAGTACCCCCTTGCTTGTCGTAAAAGGCGACTAAATGGGGCGGTCCTTCGGATGAGACCGTATAAACCGAGGTCCCGTGTCACAGCGGGTGTGGCACGATAAAGTTCCATCCCTGCTCAAAAGTCGTAAGTGCCGAGCATAGGCCTAAATTTGCAGCCCTTCACCGGCAATGGTGACGTCGACGTCTCCATATCAGTGAAATATTCTGGAAAGGGACGTTAAACAGTATACAATCAATCACCCCTATATACTGATTTGACACTGGCTGCATATTTTTTTTACACAGAAATATAATCTGACTTAATATTGTGACTTCTTTTTTGAATGACCCTCACCTAGGGATTAGTCACACTTTTCATGTGTAGAATGTAATTTTCAACATGTTTAAAGAAAATATGGTTATATTTTACTTTCAATTGACATGTCTCAGAGGAGCATCATGGTCCATATAGGCTTATAGTCAATTATAAATCTGAGTACATTTTACACAATTTATTGTGCTATTATTTTAAAAGTTATTAAATTTTATGTATACAACAACAGAATGATGTAATATGCTGGAAATTCCTTTTTAAACGCAAGGAATTTATTATTGCAATTTTGCATGTAGCATCAATTGCAAAATAAAATGTTTCACTTTTATTTTATGGTACTAAAACCCATGCACATTCACCTTATCAACCGACCATTCACAAATATATATTCTTGCGATTTAATGTTTTTAAGAGCTATTTTGCAATAATAAGTACTCACAAAAAATAAGGAATCTGCAGTATGCACATGTATAATCTTTGTATTGATGTTTGATTTTTTTTTTCCAAATCCAGATCATGCATTTATAAAAGATGACTGCATATTAGCACTACCTTAAGATTGGAGTTGAGACCTTGTATTTTTTACACAGAAAATAAAGAACAGTTGCTGAATGAAACAGATACTCACAGAAGCAAATGTAATGAGCCCAAAATAATGGTGATCAATTTTGAATGATTTTCTTCTCTGGTTGAAATGTTATTGAAATGATACGTACTGATCCAATTTTAGAAGTGTTTGACAATGAATACTAAGTATTTTGTTGTATTGTATATAAGTATAATGGCTTATTTTAAAACTGTATAAAGCTTGCAATGTTTATATCAAATGTAATGATATTGTGTAGGAATCAATTTTTTTAAGGATAAAAGATGTAATTTTTTTCAATCAGAATTTCCTAAAAAGACTTTCTAATGTAAATTTATGTATGAATAACAGAAGTTTATAATCTTTTCTTTTAATGTCATTGAAATACTGTAATAATGAACTGCAATTTTACACAAAAAATGTTTTAACATGAAAGTTTCAAATTTCAAGGTTTTATGAAGTTTGAATTGCAGCTCATATTGCTTTTTATTGAATTATCTCCCTTAACCTTAGATTTGTTCAGCATTCTATGTAATAAATTTAATTTTGGAACATGGGAAAGGTCTTGTTTTGAGCTCTGCTGATTTTAACTCAAGCAGAGTAAATGTGTTTAATACATGTTCATGTATATCTGTAAATAATTGATCTTCCCACAGAGTTATTTCCCTTGTTCACAATGTAAAAATAACTATGAATGATATATGCATGACTATTTTACAAAAAGCAAACAGATAAATTTATTTTATATGTTTTAGAAATGTCCACATTGTGTCTAGAATCTGCTTTTCTTACAAGTATTAATGATGTTGAAATAAACTGTGCTAATATTAAAAAGTATATTTTTATATCATGACATGATTATATATTGAACCCTGTTCATTGGAGCTGTGGCCAGAAATGTTTGGCTAATACAGCTAGGGGTTCAAAATATTTCACAGAGTGAGATTAAAATACAGAAATAATATTTTAAATGGTAAGACACATATTTAGAAAACATCTTGTTGGCTCTTTTTTCAAGTATGATCTCAGTTAAAAGGAATTAGATCCGGTTGTATCAATATAAACTGTTGATACAACCGGGTCCTGGGTGTAAAAAGAGCTTACATGTACATGTATATTTTCTAGATATTTATTTAAATGCTGTTGGGTCAATGAAAAAGGCACAATGTGAAGAAATGTGAACATTTTTATCCAAACTTGACTTTTATCCAAACTTGACATTGGGAACAGGGATATACTAAGTATGTGTAAGATCATGATCAAATGACTCCTACATGTAACAGTCAGCTACATTTAAAAGAGTTATGTTTTGAAGTATGCTAAATCATTCTAGGTATGACTAGGAATTAAGATTTGTGTGTGTGTGTTTCCATACATGTTTTTTTAACCCCCCCCCCCCATTTTTTGTGTTTTTATGATTCTGACTAAGGGTGTTGGTATTTAACACCCCACCCCCACCACTCATGTGGACAAAGTGGACAAAGAATTCCTGGAACCATCCATGCCTTCAATAAAAATATCCTAAGTGCTCTGGAAAATTTATTTAACCCTAGAGATAGGGTTTAAAATAAAGAAGTATGAAAATGGGAGAAAAAAATATTGAGAAGCAGGATGAATGGGTCTCATCCCTACTTTCCAAATAAAAAGAAGTTGGAAAAAAGAAGAACTTGTGTTTGTTTCGGGGGGGGGGGGGGTAATTTCCTCCATGTCTAACCAACTTGACATGTTAAGGGATCCAGGTTCTGAGTTTCTGAGTCATTTAGATTGCATGTAATTCATGATCAGTATTCAGATAAAATATTTTTGTATCATTTAATATTCATTTGATATATACTTATAGCACTAGCTCTGAAATCCTCCAAGCCCCCACCCCCCTTTCCATGCCCGGATGGATTTATTGGATAATGGAACCCTAAGTGTTAAATGTTCCTGAACCATGATGACGAAAATCTTGTTAACATTTGATGTGTATCTTTAACTGTATGAAGGAATTGCTCGTAACTGGTTTGTCAAAATCTGAGTTGTATACAGAAAACAGACTATAGGTGTGAACACTCTCCTTTACTGCGAACCTAATGACCTTTGACTTGTTCAAGAGAAACCACGTGATGATAATTTAAATAATAATAACATTAGTAGGGGTGCATGGGCGTCGGAAGCAAATTAAAAGTGGGGGGATCCTAATCGAAAGTGTGTGTGTGTGGGGGGGGGGGGTAAATTAACCCCAAAAAATAAATCAAAATTACCACTGTCTATATACTGGTTAAGCCCCCCCCCCACCCTCCGGTCTCGACGGCTATGCCATTTTAACAGCGTATTGACGTCGCGCACAGAATTGAGGCTGATTGTATAACGTCAAAATATACTTTTTTACGTTATTGCATACGTAGTTTAAGCATAAAAAATCAAAGGCGTAACAAATTGGACTAGACATCCAGTTTTAGCTCCCGTTTTCCTAAAAATCTTTTATTTTAAGTGTTTCTTTAAATACCAAATTTTATTTGTTTGCACATTATAAAAATAAGATTTTATTTGTTGCAACTTGCTTAATTTTTTTAAAAGAATTATTTGATTAACTCTTGATTTGCACATTTCATTTATCAACTTAGTTTTACGAAAAGAACCTGTTATATCAAAAAAAAAATCTTTACCAAACATTCTATCTTTTCTTGTGAATTGACAAGATCACTCTAATTACAGAACCCTTTCGATTTTACAAACAGTCGAAATCGACCAGTAAATTGGAAAATTTTCAAAAAAATTGTGTGACATCAGCACCGGACATAAGAAAAGCATCGTACTTATTTGCAGAAAAATCTATGTAGCCAAAACGATAAAATGACCAAAAATACTAAAGCCCGTCGTTTACAGTGTTACAAAGTACGCAATTTCAAACCCCAATACTATGCGCGACATCATTACGATTCTTTGTTTTAAACATCTATCGTAAGTACTTTTCATTTAAAAGAAAAGTTTTTTAGGCGCTTAAAAGCACTCTTAAGGTTTCGTCAAAGGTCAACAGGGCTAAAAAATTATTTTTACAATAGCTCCAAAATTATGTGTGGTATAAAGTCAAAACGTTTATAGTTTATAAATATATCATTGATTAATAGATAGAAAGTATCGTTTGACAACAAATATTTTTAAAAAGATATTTTTTGAGAAAAATTGTATCAGGAAATGTGCATAAGTAAAGAAAAATGCACCTGCTTAATTCTTTCTTTTTTGTGAAAACCATCATTGAAGAAATGATATATGTTTATCATTGAAGGGCAAGTTGGACGTGAATGGTCTCTGAAAGGCGGTTATTGAAAGCATGACATGTATAAAGACAAGACCCCTATAAAAACGCCATTTGAAATGTACTTTCACTTTCAAGTCTTTTTTTTTGGACAAAATAAACAGGGAAAACAACTTTCCAGAGGCTATCCAAGTCCAACTTGCCCTTCATTGTTAAACATATTTTGTTTCTGCAATAATGGTTTTCTCTAAGAGTGCGGAATTAATTAGGTGTATTTTTTGAAAATATATGCATTTTTAAGAAGAATTTTTCTCAATTAACATTTTTCCAAGTATTTTTTTAATCAAGTGATACTTTCTATCTGTTCATCAATGAAAATTTATAAACTGCAAAAGTTTTTACTTTATACCCCACATAGTTTTGGGGCTATTGTAAAAATAAATTTTTGGACATGTTTACCTTTGACGAAACCTTAAAGAATTCTCTAATAATTGTATTTTACAAGTATACGTATTTCTAAGATTCAAAAGTACTGTATAAAGGGAAATTTTCGCCCCCGTTTTATTTTCGCCCCTTTCGCCCTACCCTCATTTGGTCGAATTTAAAACGGGGCGAATTCAAAGAATACAGTATAATTTCTTAAACAAAACTATGACTGGGCCAATTTAAATCGGGGCAGAATTGTTTGCAAGAGTGAAAGGGCGAAAATAACCCTGTATACAGCAAATATAATAATGATGATTTATAGTGTTACATTAACATTTAGAGGCTTATGTATCAAAGTTGAAATAAATCAATCAATTCTTAATAATGTCTTAGAGTCAGATAATTTTTACTTTGAATTTATTTCGAAATTGTTGATTTCTAATTTCATTCAGTGTTGAGTTAATGAAGGAAAATATATATCAAAATTCCATAATTTAAAGATAGCTAATAAAAACACTGTACAACACCATAACATAACAGGCATTAACTAAATTAAAAACAGAACACCTTTCATTGCTATATTTTAAATTGCAACTTCTAAACAAACGTTTATGACAATTCATGACAATTCATATCAAGTTCAATAAAATCGATACTTAAACAACAGTGAAATATGGAATACGTAACAGTTAGCCAATCACTTTTCAGACATTGATTAAGGTACGATACATATATTTGGCTGTTGAAAGACCATTTAGCAGAATTTCACAGATTCACAAGAACGCTGCAGGTTTTTTTTTTGCGCAACAAAGAATGAGGAATCAGCGGGTTATCACTTTAATTGTCGGCTTCTTAGCTTTATCTAAAGCTACCATTATTTCTCAAAAATATACAGCGAAACTTGACTTTAATGATAAGAAAACAAACTATGAACTTTTAGGGGAACATAATGCCCATTCATTGACCGAGTGTGCCGCGATGTGTCAAAGGGAGTGCGTCGTCTTTGGTTTTAATCCTGAAATGAAGAAATGCCGTACCCACAAGAAAAGTCTAACGTCTGGGCTGTCTGAGGAGGCCGGTTGGAGATACTACTCGGATAACGGTATTTTTATTCTTGCTGTTTGCTTCTCTGGTTTATTTTAAACCACTGTTGATTTTTTTCTTTGACACTTATTTTTATGTAGTATAAACAATTGTATCTTCAAAATAATTGATTCTAATGACATTCTCATCTCTTTCCTGAAGTTTTTTCTTTTATATAAAGGTTTTTAAGTTTAAATAATTTTTTCCAATTTGAGATTTATTGAATTATAGTGTGTGATTTTCTATTTTCTTAATATCTCTTAGCATGTAATGGAAAACATAAGATAAAATATCTACACCGTAAGTATTTAACAATTTTCATTTAAGCTTTGTGACAATGATCAGTCCAAACCATTAGAAAATTCAACTTTTTTATTAACTAAATAAACGAAAATGAGCTCACTTTAGCTATATCTCGAAATTGCTATCTTAAAAACGACTGTTTCTGAAAGCTGAGACGTGAATCCTGAAAACAGCTAGCCTGTGCCACGGAGGATAAAACTACTTCTCTCTCTCTCTCTCTATATATATATATATATATATATATATATATATATATATATATATATATATATATATATATATATATATATATCCAAAATTTAAATAATGTCTCAGTAATCGGATAACAATATTAAAAAAAGGTAAAAAGAAAACACAACAATCCTCAGTTAAGCTTCAGCGCTTTAATTTGCAATCTTAAGAAGCTTACAATAGACTATTGTAAGCATCTGAAGATTGAAAATATATATATATATATATATATATATATATATATATATATATATATATATATATATATATATATATATATATATATATATATCCTCTCACTTCTTGTTCATATACATTGTATGATTTTGGTATTTTTTTTTTTGCTAGATTTTTCTAGTATGCCCAAAGATTGCAAAGATCTTCGAGATAACGGACAAAACATTACAGGGGTATATGATATATACCCCTACGGTACACTAACAATACCTGTTAGTGTTTTCTGCAACATGACCATAATGGGCGGTGGATGGACGGTAGGTTGAAAAATACTTAATATAACTAATTGTTTTGTTGGTTTTCAGGATTGCAGGATTGTATTGTAGTTTATATCATAACATATGGATTCTATGATTATTCGAGGCCATATATTGAATTATAATGTATGTTAATTTTCAAAGGCAATTCAGAAACGCGTAGACGGATCTGTGAGCTTTGACAGGAATTGGACAGAATATAAAAATGGTTTTGGTTCACCGAAACAGAATGTCTGGGTTGGTAAGTGTAAATCGCTTTCAAAAATGAACTTTTTATTCATTCAATGTTTCAAGAAAAAAATGACAGGTAAAAATTTAAAGCGTACTAAAGATATGAGGAATATCATTTAGCGGCATATCTTTATGAGACCAAGTTAACATTATTGTCTACAGCTAAGGAAACAAATTGAATTTCCATTACGGAAGATTCTTATTTTTCAAAGAATTAATTCCATTGCAGTGGACTTTTACAGCTGATTTTAAATATTTTAATGCAGGAAATGACGTAATTCATCAATTAACCAAAGAAGGTACCTCATCCTTGTATGTGAACATAACTTTACAAAATGGTACAACGCTGTATGAAATATACGACGAATTCTCTGTCTCCAACGAAGCAGGAAAATATCAACTATTTCTTGCAGGACCTGTCTCAGGAACCTTAGGTAAGTGTATCTACGTTAGGTTCTTAAAACTAGCTTAAAATAACGTATTTTATTATCATACTAATACTTTTATGCATTGAAATGTTATTAAGTTGTTGAAAAAAAGATTCCAATCTAATTAAACATGTTTAATATTTCAAAATATAATATTCAAATACTATTCACAAATTCAGTAGACATTGAATTTGTTATTGTCATGTAGCTGAAATTTCCATCTATATATTTTAAATACAAAGAAAACTTAAATTATATTATCATTTTAAACAAACAAATCCAGTAATTACATTTGCTATTCAGCTTGGGTTTCCTGATATTTTTTTTAAAATTCACATTTTAACTGCTACAGAAGAAGTTTACAGGGAATAAGTGATCTATAATGTCGACATCTTCACACAAATTTGATGTTCAAAGAAAATTATTTGATCGGAAGCAAATTCCAAAACAGCAGAACCTGTTTTACATTTACTATGCCTTTTTTCTATTAAATAAAAATCTAGTCTGACTTTCAATAATTCACATTTTAACTACCACGGAATATGAAGTTTACAGAGCGTCATTAATCTTAAATGTCGAAAAGCTTACGAGAATTTGTTGATAAAAAAAATTTGATCGGATACATATTCAAATAAGAAGTTTAAAAAGCCATAATTAAAACAACTCAACGCGTTTCACATTTACAATACCTATGCTTTATTAAATGAAAATCTAATATTTTAAAACATATATAGGTACACTATATCTTATATAATCATAATTTTAAATGAGTTACTTCGCATTGCATCTCATACATTTTTAAAGGTACCGTCTCTGACATATATTAAAACCATGCTTTAATGGTGTAGTACGCCTGTGGTTTGTTGTAACACTAGAAAGGGGGCTACATGTATGTGAATTGCGCAGTGTTTTGTTGGCTTGTATTTTTTTTTATCTCTCTTTACAGGAAAACTGTGTATCTCAGACTAATACAGAATTAAGCTCAATTTGATGTAAATTAATAATTAGTAATTATTAACTATGTTATATATTTTCTCTAATCCAGCAAGTGTCAGTTTGATAGACACCGTTGATTCTAGGACTTTACTAAATAAATATTATCGCTTTTTACAGCACCTAAAGTCGTCTATCTTAGAAGTACCTCAGTATTATTATTATTAACAATTAAATTGAAGATCAATAAATCAATTAAATATGTGATACCTTTTGTTTGCTTCTACAGGTGACGCCATGTTAAACGCAGGTCATTTTTATTATGAATTATCTGGGATGAACTTCTCCACCCCAGACAGGGATAACGATGGGTCTCCTGATAACTGTGCTGCTGACGAAGACCATAGAGGAGGCTGGTGGTTTAACAGGTGCCACTTCGCCTTCCTTAACGGTCAATGGTCCCCGGAGAGATGGTACAGACCATGGGCTCCTACAGTAGAATGGGGGACATCAGTGAAGGGGACCACCATGATGATAAAACGTCACTAGGTAAACACCATTGAATCTTATTAACAAGATTTTTTCGAAAATGATTTGAAGAGGATTTTTTTAACATATGCCATTATATCTGTAAAGTATTGAAATATTGATTTTATTCTTTTTTTATTTTTAACAGATAAAAGACCATCCATGAATTAAGGAAACCTTCATGATCAAAGAGACGATTTTAGATTTATCTTCCTTGCGGGGTTATTTTTTTCTTAAATAATAACTTACAACAACAAACTTGTACACAATTATGTTTTCAGTAAAGGAAGGAGGGGGTTGAACTATTCTTTAAAGCAACAATTATTTAATTTTTCTACTGCATGTATTTAGTACATTGTATGTGTTGTAATAAAATTTCTAATTAGAATTATTTCGTTCATATTTCAAAATACTGAAAAATGAAGATGAAGATTTCTGGACAGAGACCCAGATGTAAATTGCTTTATTGTTAAACCCACTGCAGTGGACCCTGTTCAGTCCGACACATGGGCAATACGCTTTACTGTGATTTCGGCCATTCAATTTCTCATTTCTATTTATGTCCATGATCTTTATACGTTGCAAGTGTACACCGTGTTCATTCCAACACGTACATTGGTAATCTGCTCCCCTTGTATGTTGGATAAGTACTAAAGATTGTTAAATTAAAAAAAAATAATAGGTATATTTGATGTTTATGTTTAACAGCATTATACGTCTAAGATTTCGCTTGTCTTAAAACATATCCCTCTCTTTTTTATCCATGCAGTATTTTGAATGGATGAGTATTTATTATCCATTAATCTACTAAACAAAAACCGCTTAAAGTGATGTTATTGCTTTTAATATTATGATGGAAATAAAATTATACGATAAATATATGTTAAAAGGTTGAATTTTACGTGTGGCAAGAAATGCAATGATGGTACATCCCTAGGCCTGACAGGTCTACGATTTTTTAAGGGTATTTGATTGTTATTTACGTAAAGGATAATTCAAACGTTTTAAAAAATAAATCAATTTTGCAAAACAAGAAATATTTGAGAAATTAAAAATGCAAGAAGTGAATCATTATTTTTTTTTTAAAGATGTAGTCCGATATATGCATCGACATGTGTAAACACATTTTCAAAACTTGCGCTGGCGCATTACTCTATATGCTTGCAAATATCTTTGCAATTATGCGACCAAATCTTTATGGAAATATTTAATCTACATTTTTGAACTTGTAGTCAAATAAATCGGAAAAGTTTTAGGATGTGATGGTAAAAATTCAAGATGTGTTTGTGAAACAAAGATGCTCTTGTATTGCATCTTATGAGGAATGTTGTCATTTACAGTTGAAGAGAAAACTATTTTCAGTATCAAAAGAAAACAATCCTCACAATGAGTCCATCTTCGAAAAATAATAGCTATAAAAACAGCAACAATTCAATAATTATGACCAACATTAGAGATTTTCAAAAGTAGGTCAAACTGGACAAGGTCAAGGAGTTAATAATAATGATGTCCAAAAGAATTTCTCAAGGATACACAGATGAAAAAGAAATGTCACGGAATCAACCATTCACAAGTTATTACCAAAAGGAGGTCAAAGTCTGATGTACAAATAAAAGTATTAAAAATTAAAATAAAAAACAAAATTGGTATTCAAGAGATGCTCTTACCACAAGAAATTAACCAGTAAAATAGTTAACCCTCAGCATTATATATTCAGTAAATAAGTCTAAAGTTAACGTTTTTGAAAAGCAGGTCAAATCCAGAATTTCAAGGTCAAATGTCATTATTGCTTGTACCCAAGAGAAGGTCTTATCAAAATATGAGCTTGAGGAGTATGATATCACTTGATTTAACCGTGTAATAGCTATGGTTAAGGTTAAAATTTTGAAAAAAGGTAAAAGTGAGTCAAACATAACGATCAAAGTAAAAAATACTTGTACTTTAGGAAACGTTTTTACACGTGGAATACGCCTATGGAATATTAAAGCCATAGTTCATATGACCAAGGCTTAAATTCCAAAATTAAAGTCAAAATAAAGAAAAAAATTAAACCTAAGAATAGGTCCTTTTATATTATATACCGGTACACCTGTGAAATATGAAATCTATAGCTCAAACCAATTAAAGGCTGTAGTCAGGGCTAACTGATTTCCGCACTTACAGATAAATCATGAAAAAAATAACAAACAAACAAACAGATGGACCGACCGTCACAGCAAAATATATTTGTCCCATATTTTTGGATAACAGATAGAAATTGTTAAAAAAAAAAACTTCCTGCTAAAATTTTTGTACGTATGGTGAGACGAGAATGGCATAAGTTTCCTGGGGAAGATAACGAAACAATACAAGGGCACCGCTAAGCGGAGCATCCCCTCGCGGATGGACATATTATGTACATATGGATCATTAAAGGCAAAAAATGAGAAATAAGGTCTCTCTCTCTTTACACATATCTATTTGCACATACACAGATTCTCACTTTCAAATTATAGCAAGTATTTAACCCTCTTCCCCACAGTCACACATTTTAACGCGTATACCATTTCATATTTCTAACGCAAAATCACACATTCACCTTTTCGTGACAATCACACATTACAGTAAAACTTGTTTAGTACAAACACGGATATTACGAATTTTAGGATATTATTAGCTATATGAATTTAATGAATTTCTTAAACGGTTATAACGAAGTAATTTTATAGGTCTCAGCGACTTCGTTATTATTGTGTTTTGCTGTATCATGCACTTAAAAAGTTTTTTTCATTATTAAAATATCATGTTATATTATTTATGCTAAACTTCAGAGAAACTTGAATCATGCTATAAAGTGCTTGTCGGGAAATGGTAAAGTCATATTTCTATGATGTGAATATCAATGTATAGTGCATAACAATTCAGTAAGTTGTAAAGAGTTAAGGTCTGTTTTATGATTTCAAGGAATTGAACAATATTTTACCTTGTGCTGAAATCTTTACTCTGATACTGGAGGTACAGTAAGGCCATAATAAAGATATTCCTAGATTCTCATCCCCGCCCGCCCCGATTTTAAACCCCCGCCTCGATTTTTTTTAATTTCTGTTTTTCTTCGTCTTAATTCTGATTGGGATTGGTATTCATCTATCATTTTACTTTCGTTTTAAATCCCGCGAATGTCAACATGATTTTGACAGCTGAAAAGATAGTAGTTGCTGTAATCAAGCGTATATATTTTAAACAAGGGTCATTGGTTGAAAAGATTGGTGATGATGTGTAGTAAGAGATAATGGAACCTTTACTCTGACTTTTATTCTGGTATTGTAGATAAAATTACAGCGATTGACTAGGTCAATAAAAAATCTGCAAAATTGAAAAAATATAAAATAAAAGCCGCCCACCCGCCCCGATTTTTAAAAAAAATTCGGATGAGAATCTAGCAATATATTTATTATGGCCTAAGTTGGAGAAATATAGTCAAGTGGTCCGAGTAATACGTGTAAACAATTCCTTTGTTTAAAACATCAGTGTTCCTGGTATATATGTGGTCTAGCAATCCACCATCTCTGTGTGTTGCAGAAGTAATGTGTTGCTTGAAAAATGGTTCAGACAGGGGTGCAAGGGGCTTATGTATAAGTAAATAAAGGTTAAAATCACCCAGTAGTATAACTTTCTCACTAGATATGAGTTCAGTCAGTGTTTGCATCAACTGTGTCATCTCTTGTCGTGAAACTCCGGGTTTGATGTAACATATAGCGATGGATATTTCATAGACTGGCAAATATAGTACGATAGATTCCAGTGAACTATTGTTAACTTCCATGTTCTCCTTCCTGACAACTGATATGGAATTCTTCACTAATGCAGCTACACCATGTTTTGATTGTTTTGGAAAAGTCCTGTACTCTTCTAATGAAATGTTGTTGGAATAGGTTTCTGTTAATCCTATGATGTGTGCAGCTTGAATTGTTCTATCAGCTTTTAGATCATCTTTGTGTAAGTTATACGACCTTATGTTGAGATGAGCAATGGTAATCTTGTTTTGTTGCAAGTCGTCAATTTCAATGGGCTGTTGCCAAGGTAAAAGTCTACTTGAAGTTAGCCTTTCCATTTCTGAAAGAGCTGTGTTGTTAACCTTAATTTTGTTTTCATCAAAGGTTGCTAAATGAAGGCCCATTAATGATCGAACTCGACTTAATCCAACATATGCCTGACCTGCTGTAAATCTTGCCCCATCAAATGAAAGTGAAACTTCATCCACAGTCTGTCCTTGGACTTTATGGATTGTTGCAGCCCAAGCAAGAGTAAGTGGGTATTGTGTTCTGTTTACTACAACGGTACACTCACTGCCCAGAGAAAACCTAGATGTTGTAACTTTAATTGGAACACCTTCTGTCTGATTGGAAGATGGTAGTGTGGATCTTGCTAATTTTCCAATTTTCTCATTTTGAAATTTAATGAATATCACGCCGTCCAAAGGATGATCTTTGTTTATTCTTATTGTAGAAATAATGCCATTAGCTCCATTC